TATACATATATATATATATATATATATATATATTATCATATCAGACACACACGCAAACGGTCTCTGTATAAATTGTACAAAGTTATTCTAACGAGATTAGTCATTAGTTATTAATTTATACGCCGTATCGATTAAAGTCGTATTACGTAACGAGAAAGACATGTAAGGTGTTTCGTGTACTCTGTTTATTACACACGTATGCAACACGATATGACACGTAAAATTGAAAACTCGCTAGAAATGTGCGTTTCGAAGTTGTACTGCCGATGCAAAGTGTGTTATTTTCAAATGCGTACCTGATTCCGATTTTATTAAATGTTTCCGCCGCCGCGGTCTAATTTTTCTCATGGGATGGATAATTATAAATGTGAATCATAAATTTAAATATCATATGTTCATAAAACTTTTTTTTATTAATATTATATTATTATTAGAGATAAAGTATTATAAAAATAAAAATATAAAAAGTTGTTAGAATTTGTGAAATAATGAAAGCGATATATGTAACACGATTCGTAAATAATTTTTAAATTTTTACACTTTGAAAAGTGATACTCCTTAGGCCTTTGTATATTTTTTCTTCCGCATTTATTTTTTAGTTTTCTTTGCGATCTGTGGAATTTTAGATCGAAAACGCAACGAAATTAATTTGCATTCGTAGTGAAAGCACGTTTGCATGGGGATTAAAAAAATTGTACACTATGAAAACCGTGAAATTATATTACTGTATGTGGACTCTCGTCTTTCTTTCCTTTGAAACGCATATTTTTAATAAGAGAGAGAGAGAGAGAGAGAGAGAGAGAGAGAGAGAATGTTGCGTCTATTCGTAGAATTTACAATGTCGCATTTACGGATGATTCGGATCAGCGTTTTTCGCATTATATTTCGATAGACTTCGGATTTAAAGAGAAGAGCTATATAAATCTCAGAATAAACGTCATGTAATGAATAAAACATTTACTACAAGAAAATTGTCACAAGAATTTCATTTTTAACGAATAAATTTGCATATATGCAAATATTTATCAAGACTACGACTGAGAATGCATGCATGTTAAGTACTCCACATTTAGCATTTACTAACGACACAGCATTTCCTGAATGTGCTACATAATTATTTTATGCGAATTTAATTATTCAAGAAGAAAGATTTAAAAAAGTGTAAATTTTTGATAAAACCAAAATGCTAAGTTATATTGAATCCTCTTCACAATATGGCCGATTATTTATCGCCGGCTAATTTCGGAGAAAACACTGTTTCGGAACACCCGTTTAATTCGTAATCCGCGCTTTTTATTATGTATATACTTAACCGAGGTATTTTGTACGCATTTTTTTAAGAAAACCTCTCTTCTCTGTCGATATTTGGATTCTTGTTCATTTTGCGGCAATACGTTACGCGAAGATGAGATTCTGTAATGATTTTGTCGATCTTTCTCCTCCACGTAACGATGTTGCGAGAAAGCGAGTAGCTTTGTACACGAATGTATGCGACTTATTAATTACAACTTTCGATTAAGTAATAAGTAGCGTTATCGTAAGAAGCTTGCATGTAACTCGTTCAGTGACGCGTAGCAAATCGCTCAAATTTGTTATATATATACGCAATACAATTAGTTTTATTCGGTTCACGAACCGAACATGCCTGAATAGAAAAATTATCCCGCGCGACAGATATTACTCACTTGGATACTCGACAAATCATTGCCACCTGTAAATTCCGTATAAAAACTGAAAAAATCATACACAGGAATTGCGATCTCGAAGATGGTCGAGGCACGGAGAAGAGAAAAAGAAATAATTAAAAGCTCTAGCACGTAAGAAGCTTGCATGTAACTCGTTCAGTGACGCGTAGCAAATCGCTCAAATTTGTTATATATATACGCAATACAATTAGTTTTATTCGGTTCACGAACCGAACATGCCTGAATAGAAAAATTATCCCGCGCGACAGATATTACTCACTTGGATACTCGACAAACCATTGCCACCTGTAAATTCCGTAAAAACTGAAAAAATCATACACAGGAATTGCGATCTCGACGATGGTCGAGGCACGGAGAAGAGAAAAAGAAATAATTAAAAGCTCTAGCAGAGATATTGAAAATTAAATTTATTAACTCAGAGAGTTGAACTTAAGTTCTATCTAGTGATATACAATTATATAGCGATGTAAGTCCCGATGTGTATAAATCTACTTGCGCGCACCAACATGCGCGCGAGTAAATTCATATTCAATAAAAAAAATTCCATCCAAAAAGCGCAGACGAGGAAATAAGTAACGAGTAGGTTGAGGATATCATCTCGATACAATTTTAGGCTACTAAAAAAAAAAGAAATAAAGAAAAGCAAGTCGAGACTACTCTAACTATAGAAGGAAGCATCTCAGTAAATGTAATTAGATAGGATGCGTATTTTAAGTATCCGTTGTCAGGTACGAGTTCGTGCGACCATCAGCGAGAGTCGCGTTAAATCGCGAGAGAAGGGAGATGTCGAGTTTAAGTAGCCGGCACTTCTAAGGCGTCAATGCTCCGTCTTTTCTCTTCTCATCTTCGCGAGAAGAGATCTTCCTCGAGGAATAACTGTGTCCGTTAACGTGCGAGTCCATTTGCGATAGTTTTACGTACGCAACTCGTATCCGAATCGAGATGAAGACATTTACACGTTTGAGAAAAACTACAGCTACAAATCACTGGGTCTGATTCGCGAGCGGTGGACGCGCAGCTTCCGGATTAAATTCGCGCGAACTCGGATCGGCATGTCGCGCGATGCAGCTGTGTATTATCGAGGAAGGATTATTACATGCACATATATCTCTTCGATGGCTAACAGAATCGTGACTGCTTCGGAAAAGCGCCGTATTCTCTCCATTCCTAAATGATCGTGATTCGAGCCAACGGACATATTGCCAAACCATCGTATCAATGCGCGAAGGAACGAAAAAAGATAACGTATTATTTTTATATAATTTGTCATCTTTGTATTATTGTTACGATGGTTGAGAAAGGGGACTTGTATAAAATACGATAGATTGTAACTCGGTGAAAAGTTGCGCACACACGATTCGCGTAAACGGCATTTAACACGGAACACATACACACAGGATTAACACATACGCGCTTATAACGACATAACACACAGTTCGTCGAGCAGACTCTTATTTGTCAGTAGAATTGCCATCACGCATCACAATGGGAGAAGAATGCATTGCATTTTAACGTTAAGGCGAAACTGCGATAATTCGCATTTGTAGCGGTATCGAGCTTCTGCGAGAATCGTTCTCCGAATTTCAAATGTAGAAATGATCGAGACTACCAGATATTAGCAAATTAGAGTTATTAACTACATGTAAATTGATCTTTTTTCCAGCCAAAAATCTCGAATAATCGATAAATCTCGACCTATCAAAAGATTTCCAATTATATTCTTAAAATCTAAAAAAGTAGAATAAGAAAATTAAATGAATTAAAAAAACCCCATCCGCAAACAATTGGTTTTAAATCGCACATATCTGTACTTGCCATTGCTCATTTGAAATGCATAGAACCTGTCTTCACGGAATGCGGAATATCAGATTGTAAAAAGATTTAACTCTTAGATTGTGTCAGACGCGCTGATGACACTCTTCTATCGGGCTAACGATGTTTCACCGATAAATGATGTCTGGCATTCAAAGGGTTAATTAGACTGTTAGAGAGCTAGAGCTACGTAAAAATAATCCATATCATTAAGAACACGAAATAGAGCGATTTTTTGTATTGGAGGTACTGGAAGAGAAAGAGAAATGAAAAAGAAATATAAGCTATTTCTCTCTTCCTTTCTCTTTCTCTTTCTGGATTGCGTTTTACGGGCTGCACACGTGTGTCATACATCCTACATACACACTCAACACACGTGGAGAAGAGTCCGTGAAAACGTGTATTTAGCTCAATCTTTCCTTTTTATATTTTGTAAATACAGCGGATATATAAAAATAAAAGTGGTAAACATTTTTATAGTTAATTTTATAATTTATTTACTATGCGCGAAAGAGAGAGAGAAAGAGAAACAAGGGGAGAAAGTTCGTCTCTCTTCATTGACCATCATTGCACGAATGAAATCGACGAGAATTAAGAGTAAGATAGGGGTGTACATGTTACAGAGACACTCGTTACACACACGTATACATACACATAGAAACATACACGCGCACGATTGTAGATAATTTGTAACAGTTGCTATTGTCAAGTACCACATACACGTATAAAGCGACATATGCTGATATATATCATTGCGTATTATACTGATAACGATTAATAAAAGGTAATGTTGAAAATTGAAGCACCGCCTATATTGTTGTTGTATTGTTTATTTTCCCTTCCTTCTCTCAATATAATAGCAAAAAATGTAGTAACTCTTTTTAAAATAGTTGATGTATGTAAGCACGATATATAAATATATAAATCCTACATTAAATTTGATAGATGAAGTTAATCTTATCTCTAATTTATTAATGCTTGGAAATTATACAATTATAAATAATTGCTTATACAAGAATTGCATTTTAACAATTATTAAAATTATTATTTGTAAGAATATTGCGTATTTTAAGTATATTTTAATCCGTGTCAGTTATCGTTTTCTTTTTATTTTCATCAACTCAATTAAATTCGTTTCACAAAAATAAATGAGGTTTTTTATAAGAATCTGTAAAACTGCAATTAACCGCACCCACCCTTTTTACAGCAAGTACGTTTCGGAGGCCGATATCCACGACTATTATCACCCATTAAAGGACTATATTCTGTAAATAAAGTATGGATATTATATCATTTAATTCTTTGTGCTGTCGCTATCCAACCACAAAGGGTTACATTTATCTCAGATATATAATTTAATATATAAGTGAGATATAAGATTTACCTGATTTAAGCAACCTTGATTTTGTACTTGTACTAGGTGTCGTTTTTTCGTCATCCATTGCACTACCTAGCTTGATACCTACATTTTTATTTTCCAAAAATTTTAGAACCTTCTGTCTCTTTTTCTCTTTTTCCTAAACAAAAAACAGATTGCTCAAAAATCTATATTTCAATAATACAAGTGCAATAAAGTCTCTTAATATATTAAGTAACACATAACAAGATAATGAGATACCTCTTCCTTTTTAACTTGTGCCAAGGCACAATTCTTGTTGTATGCTTCTTGCATTTTTTGTCGTGTTAGCTCTACGTTAGCCGACAGTTGTGGTAATTCATCAGTCTCTAGACAAATGTGGCATAACAAATATGTTATAATTTATAACTAAATTATATATATATTGTCTGTCATCTAAAAACTCTATTTTTTTAATAAATTATTGACTTACTTTTGCCAAATGCAACACTATCATGCTGGTTTCTTGCAAATCTCCAGCTTTTATATTTCTCTTGAATATATGGATATGTATGGTATAAAATAAACAAGAGACCTACGATATACCATCCCACAGAAGCTATGAGAGCCCAAACTAAGATACAAAAAAACGTTTTAATTACTTCGCGGCACAATGTATATATACAGAATAAGAAATGAAAATAATCACAGAAACGCCAACAAGAAAACAACGCAATTATCCACGTTAAATTTTCGCATATCACTATGATACATACCCGTTTGGAAATAGCTCGGATTGTCGACGTACTCCATATTCCTTTCTGCGTGTTCAAGATAAAATTTTTCAAAACATTAGCTGACATTAATTTAAATGTCACGATCCGCTATGCAACGATCAATCCCTCTTTCTCTTCTTTTTCATTCCTTTCTGACAATCAAAGAGTGCGTTCGAAAATCCTACCCGTGGAGCAAAGTAACATTTAATTGACCAATCAGGACAAGGAATCTTTGCTCCTGATTGGTCAATTAAACACTACTGTACCGTACGAATAAGATTTCTGGATGCATCCAAGTTTAATCTATATAGTTTTTCACGAATCTGTTTAACTTTGCTGCACGAAATTATCTTATGTTGGTAATTAATGACATCTGATAATTTGAATAAACTTATGATGCAGAATAAATTTACTGCCAATGCTCGATTTCAATCTTTAAAAATGATAGCTATATAGTTTATAAACGCAAAGCATTTTCTTAAAAAGAGATAAAGAAAGACAGATAAATTGGCGATTCTCCGGAAAAATTATCCCCCCACATGTATATATAATAATATATATAAATATATATAATTACACATAGAATATGTCTATACATAACTATTATTTTTATATACTTTGTCCATTTATAAAGAAAATAATATGGATATAATTGAAAAACAGAAGAGAATAATTTTTGCATTTTCTAAGAAAAAATTTGCGGTTATATTATTCAATGTAATCTATGTAGTGTAATCTAAAATTATATATATTACATATATAGAGTGCTATTATTAATGTTAAATAAAGTTTTGATTGTATTTACATTATTTATCTTACATATATATATAGCATTAACCTTAATTTAATATCCGTATTTATCATTAAGAGTTGTTCTGCCATCTCCAGATTGATCTTGCGGTGGTATCCATGTAGAATAATCTTCCGAGTGGATATCTTGATCATATTGCTTTTTCATAATTTTCGACTTCTCCGATTTTTTATCTCTTCTTCGTTTCTTATCATCTACAACGTTCGCATTTCGTTCGTCTGTTTCCGTATCGACGCCCCTCAAAGTACACTGTTTGTCGTTGATTCTAGTGCAATCTTGTGATTTTGTTTCGTCCTTGCATGGCGTAGGTTTTGTGATATCGCATTCGATTTTTTCTTTCACATTATCTTCATTTTCTTCCTCATCTTCCTCTTCTTCTACATTATCCATAGTATTATTACTATCTGAAGTTGACAATTGTACTTTCGCAAAATCGTCTTTATTCTGAAAAATTACTTTTTTAAATTACAAAAAAGAAACAGTAAATAAGAAATTTAAAGAAAAAGGAAAAAATGAAATAGATAATTTACCTTTTTCTCAAAATGTTTTTTTCTTTTTTCAAGTTGAGAGATTTTCTTCGTGGAAGCTTTTGACTTTTGTTGCTGATCGTCCTTTTTATCTTCTGCCTGGACTTGGCTAACAAGAGGCGGTAAATTGGCCGGCTTTGTAAGATTTATTAATTTAACTAATTTTATTTCTTCTTTATGAAGATTTTGTAATTCCACCTTCATATTTATAACATCGCTTTTGCTCAAAGAAGATGTATTTAGATTAGACATAAAAGCATCCAAAGAATCCTCGTTGGATTCTGCCGCTTTAACTTTGCTTTCTTGTGCCTCTTTTAAACGATTAGTCAGATGCGAAATTTTATTCATGATGTTGCTATGCTTTTCAGTCTGAAATAATATAAACAACATATTTAGTTAAAAATATATGTATAATACCCTGGATGAATAAACAAAAAAAAAATAGCATTACCAATGAACTATAGGTCTCAATTTTTTCTTCAAATTTTCCAGCTATTTTCATTCTTTGCTCACGTTTCCTTTCTACTATTCCGGTTCGATCCAAAAAATTATCTTCATCTGAGTCATAATAATCTTCTTCTTCCCAATTTCTTGCTTTCTTTCTTCGACTTTCTGCAATCAATAATTTTAATCTTAGTAATTAGAAATGTAAATTGTTAAGTATAAAAACTTGCATATATAAAAAAAGTAATATTATTTATAATAGATATATATATATATATATATATTACCATGATTAGCTTGTCTCAATAATCCGTGTCTATCTAAGATTCTACAGGCTTCCAATGCACATTGAACGACGGATTCTTTCTTTTTTCCTTTAACAAGAGCTTCCGCTTTTATGGAACGACCGCCGAAACATTCTTTAGGCAAACTAAAATCAATTTTTATTTTTATGTGATATATAAAAGAAAACATCAAGTTAAACATTCAAACATAATTTTAAAGCAACACTATTAAAGAAGTAAGCTTATAAACCTATATTAGCTTATGTCACTTAGCTTATATAACTTACTTTATCCAACATAAAAATTGGCCTATCCCTTTTTCCTCAACTTGATATTGCAAATCATATCCCTCTCTTTCAAACCATCCTCTCAGTGTTTTTTTAGGATCGTCTAAATATAGCTCTTCATCTACCATAGAAGCATAAGGATTCTCTGTCAGATCCGTTTCCTCATCGGCATCTTCTCCCATTCCCCAATCAATACCCTCATTTTCAGCTGCCTGTTTTGCTCTCTCTTCAGCTTCTTCTTCTTCTTGTTGTCTACTCTTTCGTTCTCGCAACTCTTCCAATCGTTTTTCCTATGAACAGATATATTTAAGAATTTTGTCTTTTCATTGAGAATGTAAGAATAGTAATTAGTAGCAAATTATTTATTATGACCAATTACACGCAAATAAAAGTTACAAACCTTCAATTGAGTAACCGACAGTTCAGATTCTTCTTCCTGATCATTTGGTGCTTGTAGTATATATTTTCTCTGGCTACAACCTAATTTAATCATATGACCATCATGCAATCGGACATAAGTTCTTGGTTTTATACGATGTCCATTCCAAAATGTACCATGCGTGCTCTCCAAGTCATACAAATAAAAACCTTTAGAGTTATTCTCATCTTCCATTGTTCTGTACTGAATAATTGCATGGTATCTTGAGATAGTCGGATGAGCAAGAGACAGATTGCAAGAAGGTAATCTGCCTAATATGTAAAAACTTCTCTCGGTTAAATCAATCTTCTCCAGAATTATACCAGATTTGAGAACCTCTAACTTATATTCCTCTGTCGGTTTCCCACTCCATTTCGGTTCCAGATATGGTACAGGAATGTTTTTTGTATCAGGTAAGACATTCTCTTCTACAGAACTCTTCAAGATTGATTTGTCAATATTATCTTCAGTATCATCTTCTTGCAAATGGATAGTTTCGGTCGCTTCGTTATTCATAGATGACGATTCAGATGCTGGAGGAATTATATTATCATTCACCATTCGAATTTTTCCAATCGAAATTTTACCCCTCTTTGGACCAATCAGTAAAAGCGGCTTCTTAAATCCTGATTCTTTACGAATGTTATCTGTTTCATTTGGGGAAGATTCAGACATATTTTCCATCTGTAATTTTTCGGTGCTTTGCTCATTGTATGCTGGTGATTCAGATATTATTTCACTGTTGCTTATGTCAGCGCTAACAGTAGTTGTAGAAGAACCTTTAGGAAAACAGATTACAGAATCCCTTTCCTGTTCATTTGCTTGCATAGTTACGATCTTGTCAAATTGTATGCTGGAAAACAATCGAGTATCAAACTCTTGTTCAAAATAATAATGTATTACTGTCAATCAGAATTCGCATTCGTTTTTACAAAAAACACTTTTAGTGTTTATGTTTGGATGCTGTAGTCATGAGCTTTGCATAATCTGTCAATCTGTCAATTATTCTCATTAGATTTTTACATAGAACTGTTGAGAATCAGATTTCTCTTTTTTTTTTTTTCTTTGTCCATTCACTAATGAGGCAAAGTACCACGTTAGTTAAATTTATACTTACAGAGATTTCTTGTTTATTTGAATCATAGAGAAAACTAATTAGGAAGAGGCCATTGTTGCATTTTTCATGGAATGCAGCAAAATGCTTATCAAATCTTGTTTAGTATTGCCATCTGCATCCACTTTAGAGATATAGAACTACATAGCCAAATTAATTTTCGATATTGTCGATAAAATCACCGTTTGCTAAGTCTTTGGCAACATCAAATTTTCTGCATCTAACAAACAATATATTATAAATATATACGCAATAAATATACGGTATCTCTCTTCCTCTTCGACCTGTCCAGCATGAGTGACTCTACCGGTAACTGTTATCGCCGGCGTAGGTTCGAGTACTCAAACCTTCTCATCCGGCCAAATGATGCAAATATGAATTTTCCAAAAGTTATAAATTAATTCATTCCGAAAAATACTTATCGCGCATAGCCAAAATCATAATAATTTAAATAAGAATTTTTATAAATAAGTAAAAATTATATATATACCTAAAAATGATTTAAGTTTAATTAATATTAAAACTCATCCTAAATTTGGAATATTATTAATCTTTAAACGAAAACAGCAAATAAATACTTTAAACAAAAATATTGCAAATATAAAAAATGCGTATATACAACATATTCTTTACGATTTCATTATATTTAATATTGAAATAAAATAAATACCACTTAATATTCACTAAAAAATATTGAAATATAATATAATAATAAATTGAAATAATATTGCCACTGAAAAAGTTATATTATGATAAAAATGCTGCTAAGTATAAGTTCAATAACGGGATTTTTACAAGTGATTTGTCTGTATTTTTTAATTTATTTAATTAAAATATTTATATTATAAATGCACGTGACGGACGCGCATGATCACACATTTGTTCAAGTTCCTCTGAAATCTGGTCTTCATGATTCTAATTTGAGATAAATTGTTATAACATTTTTCGCAAACATTTCCTCCTCATCTCTATTTGGGCCATAAATTTCTTATTTGCGTATTTTCTTAAAAAATACTTGATATCATATTATCTCCACGATGTAACAAATGATATATCTACGAGCGTAGAAAGTAGATATTCGAACTTTTCTTAAACTGTTCTTTGCATAGTTTGTCAACAGATGATGAACTCTATATATTGAGGCTGCACCTCATTATTTTTTTCTTGTGTTTGCTGCCGCACTAATTTAAAATTTATCTACACGTATATGTATATGTACATCTATTAATTCTATATATTTACATGTACTGTGAAATCTATGGGCATGTACATGCACTGAAAAGGATAAATATTCTTAAAATAGATATTCGCTATTAATTTTGCTAACATATATCTCTCACATTATCTAATTCGTCTCTCTACTCTTCAATTCACTTCAAGAATTTTTTTGTACAAATAAATTTTTTTTACATTTGTGAGTGGTAACTATTGTAGGCACGTGTCACCTTTTTTTTTCCTCTCTCTTATCTTTGATATAGATTAGTAGCTACGTACTCTACAAATAGTGTCTTTCCTTAAATACATAGTTTGAAATAAAATACTTCAAATATATATTATCTGCATAAACTTATCTACAAAAAATTGAATTAGCTTTGAAAGCTAGTTGATAGTCAACTTTTTAATAATTTTAATTAATAATATATATATATTTATATATAACGTTTATATTTTATCAATTTTAATATAATTTCATTCTGTTATATTTATCCCCTTTTTTCTTTTCTTTAAAAATGTATAAATCTTAAATTTTCTTAAAGATAAAACTTAAATGTAATTTTTTCTCGCTTACTAATCCTTGTCACAAATTGTTCCATATATATCATTTCTTGAATACATGTGAAAGTATAATTCAGACAAGACAGGAAATATAATATACATTCGTATATAAACCAACATAGAATAACGAACTTTTATTATTAACGAACTATAAAGAAATGCGAAATGTAAAATTGTAACAAACATTACAGAATTTCTCTTTTACACATCAGTAATTTCTTTATAACACATTTATGACACAAAAACCAAATGGATATTTATCCTGAAATGTCTTCTTTTTTTTTTGTTTTTGTTTCTTTTTTTGCACACTTGCACAAGATAAAATGATAATGAAAGGCTGATATAAGAAGATTGTATACTATTATTATATATACATAAATTTTTGATATATTAATATATTTATATATTTATAAATTCTGTGTTTTTGCCTCCCGGTAACTTAATCATTGTTAGATCTAATATGATATTTGTATTTAAAATATAATTGTTACAATTGTACCGAAAGAAACTTGAATTCCCTCAATCGTTTTAGACGTTTTTTATATTCCATTTAAGTATAATCTAGAATCTAGATTTTTGTATCGCACATAAACAGTCGTTTGGTGCTTCGTACAGAGTGGCTTCTATTCAAAATTGTGTCCAGAATTTATTTTGATTCGTTGAGATCTGAATTTCTTTTACATATCAATTAATTATCCATGTTATATTTTCTATCTGTAAGTATATATCGGCATGCTCACAAATAATTAAAGACTGCCAATTATATTTTACACAAATCTTATCATAATTGCATATTTCCAATTATTCAGTGACCATTCTGTACTCGGCCAAGGCAGATCAGTGTATGATTACATAATCTACATACTAGAAAACAGTTTAATGCTTAATGATACACTAAATACGATGTTTTTCTTGACTTGATCACATTGGGAATTCATTCCATGCCACTATCGAAGACTATAATCATTAAGAGGAATTAATTGGGAGAAAAAACTATTTCTAGAAATATATGTGTGTATATATAGCTACGGGCCACATTCGTATTTCATATTTAGCACTGATTGGCCGCTTCATTCGTCTCTAATGTGACGATCGCAAACGATAGTTATCATTGAGAATGCACAAATGGATGTGCATACGAGATATGCATACAAGCCCATGTCTTTATTTGCATCCATACCTTCTTATTGTCAAGCTACTTTATGCAGATACCTATATTATACTTTCATATTTTGTCCTACGGCAACATTTAGTAAGTTCATCAAATATTAGAAAGTATAAAAAAAAACAGGCTACATTTTTACATCATAAATTTCTCGCAGAATATATAACTTACAATATCGCCTTACAACTGTGTTTTCTATGTGCCCTATGCTTGACTTAAACACAAAATGATTTGAGTTTAATATCCACTTAAAAAAGAAAATTTGCGTTTAATATCCATAAAACAAAGATAAGAATGTAATTTGCTTTTAGAAATTGCAAACGCATTTTTTTTTTTTTTTTTTTTTTGCAAACTATATAAACATTTTTGAATATAATGATACAATCTCAAGGGACATGATAGACTAGTTTAGTTTTGTAATCCATTTTAAATATATATATATGCCTTCTATAAAAAAGGAATTAATAATTATGTTTCATAAACAGAATGGGAGAGCGTAGTAATTTATTTCCATAGATATCTAATATTTTATAAAAGAAAATAGATATATATGAAAGAGCTCGTGCAAAAGAAAACAGAAAAGAACAGAAATCATTTCAATAACAATACAAGTAGTACATAAATCAATAATAAATGATAAAATAATAGTGAACAATAGTTGTGTCATAAACAAATATGAGAATTTGCATAACTAGCATAATAAATTTTAAAATATATATCTAAATAATTGTACACAAATAATTATTTAATTTTACATTTGATTTAATTCTATGTATGTAAAATACAGAATATTAACATTAATTTATAAAGCTCAAGCCCCATTCATGGTAAATATATCAAGAGAGAAAACATGCGCAACTTCAAAAATAAAAGTGAGAAAGTTTTGAAGAGAGACATATGTAATATATATATGCAAAAATTAATGTTTATACTAAAAATATACTAAGAATAGTAAAGAAAATAAAAGGGTAAGAATGTATCATACCCTAAAAATACTCAAATCCGCATAAAAAAGAAAGAAAAGCTATAATCATTAACTTTACTTTCCAAGACGTTTAATGCGAGATCGCGTGCTCAGTGATCGAGCACTGGGATTGTATGGTGATTTGACCCTCTTAGCTATACCAGAAGTGGAACTTGTAGTCGACGGATTAATGGTCGCGCAAGTACTCACGCTTCCACCGTTACCATTCGCTTGTTTAAGTTTATTGGATGACAACGAGGAAGACCTGACTCTACTAGATTGTAGCGATCCACCGTTTGCAGATTGCTTTAACTTGTTCGGTAAGGATAATCGATTTTGCTTCACTACTCCGTACTGGTGAACTAACTGCGCAGATATCGTGTTACCAACGATGTCTACGTTACGCGAACGTAGCGTTTTCACTGGTGTTGCCGCCATTGTGTCTGATCTATGTAGAATAGAAAATAGCAATGTTTGGTATAAGTTCATCAAACATATTTTAAAAAACTGATAAAATATAATATCTTTTTAACGATCTATATCCCATTTAATTGCAATTATTATATAATCTTCAATATAAAATAATTGACAAGATGTATGAGACACATAGTTTTATAAAACTTAACTTTCTTTAAATGTATTTCGTGCAAAAATTTCTAAAACAAACCAAAATTATAATTAGTCAAACCAACCTTAACCATCGCTGTGGCATTGTCGTATCTGTAGGGCCGATAATTGATACTGTCCTATTTAATGTCCTTCTGTCGTTACAATTGCTCGCTCGATTGCTTCTACCTTGATCCCAATCCCGTAGAAAACTACCTCTCAATTGTTGCAGTTTCGAACCGTTGATAGATGACCTCCTAATAGTTTTAACAGGTGTGGCCTTCTTTGCTAAACTTCTACGTTGGAACGAAGAAGAAAGTGTCGTTGTGGTGGCACCGTTTAATGATAATGTTGAATCCGGTCGTCCGTCTGACGTGGGCCAACTTAGCCGACCGCTCGTATTTTCCATTGTTTGATTGGCTGGATCGTTCTCGTCTGTAGGAGTCTGCCGTCGGTCCTCGGAACGTGTCCTCCTCTTCGCACACGGTTCTTGCTGTGTGCACTCATTTTCAACTCCAGTCGACGGAACCGATGTTTGCGTAATCGTACTGTGCCTGCGTTTGCAGCTAGTGTCTGCCCGTTTTGATGTATTCTTTGTTGTCTCTTCTGCTGACGCATTTTCCGCAACGGACGTTTTCGATATTCTGTTGTATCGCGACTTTACGCTCACATAAGTCTTTGGATCTGGAGTTGACATGAAAGCATTCTGAGTCTGCGAGGAATTCATGCTGTGTCGACGCTTTATCGTTCTAACGTCTGTCCTTGCGGTGGGAAATAAAGAATGCTGTTGTTTGTGCCTCGATCCGTTCAAAATGCCATTTCTCACTTCACCGCCATCAAAACTCTTGCTCTTAACAGGAACAACACCGCCACTTCGGCGTAACCTGCTTAAAAGAGGAGCAGGTTGGACTGCCTCCTCTTTCGTATCGGAAAATATATTTTGTCGTATCACGTTAGATACTCCCATCTCATCCACAAGTTCCTTAAGCTCAGGATTGTTCGATTTCAAGTCTGAGTGGATCGGAAG